CTCCGTCGCAAAACAAAACCAAAGAGGTTTTATGCCTCAGCAAAGGGGATCTAACGACGCTCTCAGGTTATCTGATCGGCCATGCGCTCCGAAAATACCACCTCTTCCATATTGGACAAGCTGAGAATGTTGACAAGCTTTTAGAAGGGTAGGTTGAAAGTACAAATAGAGTCAAAACGTGCCCTATTATGAGTTAAACATATTCCCCAAATTTCATTTTCCTAGCGTTTATGGTTTTTGAGAAAAACAAATAAAAAAGCTGAAGTCGCCCATGGTGCATCTATCAAAGTATCCTTAAAATTGCCTATAGAATCACCCCCTGAAGTTTGGGCACGTCATTCAGATACATCTTGTCTAATTTATGTAATATAATGTGTACGAAGTAAACAATCAAATTACGCTTAACTGTTTTTGTGTGTGCAAATTTAAGTGGCACTGAAAAACATAAGCTGCTTGTTATTCGACAACCTAAAATGCACCTACCTATTGAACATGGAACATTCTGAAAATATTAGTGACGATGAACAATACCTACTTAAAAATAATATTTTATTATAACGTGTTTCCTGATATAACGTACGCATTGTTTGATCCCTTGAGGATACGTTATAACCGGAGTCTACTGTAATTGTTTGATTTATTTGATTTTACTTGACTTTAATACTTCCACATGTTGATTTTCTTTCTTTATTACATTATAAATGTAAAAATTTTCATTTCACAAATTTCGTCAAAAATTAAAACTTGAAAATATGTATAGTTTCAACATTTTCTCTTTGCTTCGCATAGCCTCAGTTGCAGCTTTTTTAATTAAACATTCATTACAACAATTAAATGAAATTGGACTTTGTTTCGGCTGAAAGGCGGATACAATATTGTATCACGCATGAGATTCAGCTTATTACATTTGTAAACCACCAGGTCGTTTTTGTAATGAGAATAACTCAGCTGTTGTTTAATTGAAGAAATGTTTATTAACAATGAAAAAGTAAAATGATTTAAATCAGTTCCTTTAACCTCGCTGCATACGCACTACTTTATGCCGACGACACAGCATTGGTCTCGCACAGTAGGGATATCACTTCTTCGGTCCGTAAGCTGCAGACGCTCATAAATGAAAGGGAAAATTGGTACCGAAAATGGCGCATCCTACTCAATCCCACAAAAACACAATTTTTTGTCCCATTCCTTTCACCTCGCGCTCCCTCTCCCACAATTAAAATCCAATCAACGGCAATCTCCGTCTCACCAACCTGCAAGTATCTTGGCATAACACTTGACAAAACGCTTAAGTTCTCCACTCATGCAACCAAGGTGAGGATGAAAGTAAAGACACGCGCCAAACACTTTAAATCCCTCTCGTTCAGAGGTCGTGGAATCTCTACCTCATGTGCCTCGCACATCTACAAGACCATATGCAGGCCCATCATAGAATATGGATCAATACTGTTAAGCGACGCACCAAGAAAAACGAAGTACCACCTGGAAGTAGCGGAAAGATCTGCACTGAGATCCATCACTCGAATTAGGAACCCCCTCTTTAACCCTAGCAATGATCTGCTATACCAACTTACCGATATACCCCCTATCCATACCCGCCTTCAATCTTTGTCCGATAAATCCATCCTAAATTTTCCTACCAACGCCTTGCAACACACGCTTATATCGCCTCGATTACTCCACCCTCGCAACAATCCACCTCTTCTCTTCCAAAAACTCCTGGCCGTCAGAGAAGACTGAAACAAGCCGGCGACTACAAAAATCACGGGCAGAAAGACCCTGGTCGGTAGCCCTATTCTCCCCCCTTCACTTTTTTATTTTTGTTGTATATACATATAGATATTTTTATTGTTATTCTAATTTTTTTATGTAGTGGGTACAGAATAAAATTTGTTTTTCTTCTTCTTCAGTTTTGAAAATAAATGAAATTTATTATTTCATTTATTTTTATTAATTACATAAGCAGAATTTTACACCAAGACAATCGCTTTCACCCCTATAAGCTAATGGTTATCCAGCAACTGAAAGAAGAAGATTTTGCACACCGCCAGCAGTTCGCTGAAAGAATGTAAATGATTTTTGCTGATGAACCAATAATAATGATGACCGATATGACTCATTTTCAATTGAACTGTTCTGTTAACAAACAGAACTTCCGATATTGGACAGCAAGTGAGCAGCATAGTGAGAAAGTCGCCGTTTGGTGTGCTGTAAGCCGTCATGGAGTGATTGGACCTTAGTTTTTCAAATACGCACAAGGGTTAACTGTAACTGTAACATCCAACCGATATGTTTTCATGTTGGAAAACTTTTTGATCACAGAATTGATCTTCTCTTAGTCCTTTTTCTTAGCGTGTGTCGTCTTGCAGTAATCAATCCGACATTATTTTGTGTAATTTTCGTAACAAGAAGATTTTTATAGGTTAGAGTTAACCCCGTTCCTAACCCCCCGACATAGAGGATCAATGACTCTTCTGTTTGTAAGTATTTATTGATCGCATCAGTATGGCTCCAATATCATCACTTACTCTCTAACCTACCAGCTTTTTGAGCTGTAGGCACAGTAAATTCATATTTTGTCATTTATTGGCTTTTTTATGTTATCTCTTTGGTAACCACAAACTTTTTCCTCTAACTTCTCTTTTCAATCCTTTTTTTACTTATTTAAAAATTTTAGCCTCAGAATGGTTGTAATTAAGTCAATTTAAAGGAAGACGGAGCAAGAGCTATTTAAAACTTTAATTTAAAAATGTAAACAGAGAAAATTAAACTTCTTTCTGATATCTTATTGGCTATTTTCTGGCTTTTTCTAACTTTTTATTGACTGCTCTTCATCTTCTATCTGTTTTATGGTACAATTCAATTTAAGTATATGTCGTCCTAACTATGTCTAAATTAGATGTGACGTCAACGGATAATCTTGTGCGTATCAGGAATTCTTAGTGGTTATTATCCACCAAAATGTATAGTTAGAAAGTGTTCTTCTCTTAATAAAAGTTTTATAAACGGTGCAAAAAGGTGAAAAAGCAAGTTAAACTACTTTCTTTCTCTTTTTTGGATATTTATTGAGTTTTTTCTGGTTCCTGTATATCTTGTTTTTGTTTTCTTTCTGGCTTTCTGGCAATGAATATTCACTCTGAGGGCCTTTTCATGGGCAGATTATGCTATATTTTTATAAAGGTTTTAGAAACATTCTTTTTTTCAAAACAGGTTAAGATATCAAACGAATGGACCTTTTTGCTTATTGATTAGTTTTCTTTCTGATCTTTTTAACCAACTATCATTTAATGATCTGAATGTTAACGTTTTTACTGCTATCAATATGATACCCTTAAAACATACATATATAATCTTTTATAATCTTTCATGTTAAAGCATGCTCGCCAGTTGGATGTAATAAAGTAGCATAAACAAATGGAGTAAAGCCTGCAGTTTATCCAATTCCTGAAAAATTGTGCCAACCATTCTGTAGTTAAAAAACTCTTTGGAATACAATGTTTGGTATAGACCCAAAAGTTGGTTTACAATGTCTTCTTTGTCGAAAGAAAACATTGCTGTATTAGAGGAGAAGAAGATTTAAAGAATCTTTTGCAAAATATAGAGAAAGAAATAGAAGGATATCAATAATACTGATAAAAAATATTAATAACGAAGACGAGGATAATGAACAAGAAACTGAAAAATTGAAGAAGCAAAGTTTAGTTACATTTGCTCAGAAAATCATTCCCTTTATACTGATTGTTTAAAACCATTTTATTTCAAATGTGTAATACAAATATTTAAATAAAGACCTGTAGGGAATGGATGAAATATTATGTCAGCAAGCAAAAAATGAAGGTTTCTTCAGACACTCCCCTCGGAAATTGTTGGTTCAACAGTTCGTGTCAAAGTTCCTAACTTAGATGGTAGAAGAGGAGATCCGATGTCTGTACTTGCCATTTTATTACAAGTTACTGAAGAGTTATTGAGAAGTTATTATAAATTAGATCAAGGCAATGGAAAAATCAATAAATTGTATACGAAGTTAATTAATTATATTCTCAAAAATATTTATCATAAGAAATAGCGGTAACGACACAATCAATCGGTAAAAACAATAAACATAAATAAATAGAAATAAAAATAACAGAAAAGTTAAAATTATAAAATTTTCCAAATTCCTTTTACTTTAAAATAAAATTAAATGTTAACTGTTAAAAATTAAATTATAAATATAACATATAGTCTTGTTACAAAGCTCCTGGAGAAATTGAACCCTGCAACAATACAATTTCGCATTATATCTCTATCTAGTAATCAATACACGTGTACATATGTCTTCAGAAATGTTTTCAGAGACGATCAACCTTCTCAGCGGGAATAGATTTATATTCATTGTCCCGGGAAACCTTGTTCACGGCCTGGTTTTATTCGCTTGTAGGGCAACATACAAAACAAAATCCTATTTCGTGGTTGGGTTATCAACGTATTTCCTGCGATTTGGCCGTCTGCAGCGTGATTTAAGTAGGTTAGTTCGCGTTTTCCGTGGGGAGGCCGTCGGATTTTTGTTACCAACATGTAGTAACCTGACGTTTATTGCTATTACTTTATCATTGTAATAAAATAGCTTATAAATTTTTAAACTGCTATTTATAACATACCAAAGTAGGTGGTTTATAAATAATCCCTATACTGGCTAGTTATTTATGTAACAATGTTTATGTATTTTCTTTACTGAATACCTTTAACGCATACCCAGAAGTAAATATTTTCTTTTACCCGGTAAAATAAAACACTATAATTTCTATTTTCTTACTAATACGATACAAGAAAATGTTTTACCAATAAATTTTATTTTTTAATTTATCTTGGTATTTTCTAAAATAGATAATTAAAACTTTTATAGCTTCGAGATTTTGTTAGCACGTTCTAGAAACATTTTCAGGTGAAAGCAGCTTTTATTGTTCGGACAAATAGCTCGGTCGACTAATGGCTGTACCCTTTTGAAACGACTGTTTCAGGAGCTAACCCGACCCTTAGGGACAACGGACGTGGCCTCCGGGCGGACCAATGGGCCCGATTTTGCGGCCGTTACGTGTGTGCGGACGTTATAGAGAAGTTGGCCAGACAACGCTTGTTAGAAAGGTCCACGTCGTACGGCAATTGGGGCATTGAGAATGAGATGGGAGCAAGGATTCTTCTTGGAAAGGTCGTTCCCGTACCACAAATCCCACAACAATCCTCACACGGTAAGGATCTTCATTATATTCTCATATTTAAATCATAAAAATTAAATTGAATACACAAAATCATGTTAATAATGAAGTAGTGTAACTAAACAATATCAGATGATTTTCTTTAGGGCTTGTTCTACTTTTACACAATAAGAATTGAAAAGCATGGATTCTTATACAAATGAATTTCCACAAAAGAAGCCAGGTTGAATGGGAAACGCTCTCTGCGTTTCTTTCAATTCCCGGAATGAAACATCGCTTCGTGTGTAAATCCCACTTACATTTAATGAATCCTCGCGTATAAAGTAGACAAAAATGAAACAATTCGGTTTCTATTTACTTTTTGATTATCACGTTTTTCATCAAAATCTATTTTCTTCATTCCTGCTGGGTGTTGATTACGCCCGAGGTCGCAGAAAACGGGGTAGCAGGGAAGGTTTTCGCTCATCTGGAAATGATGATTAAATCCGCCAGCATCTGAGACGGTGTAAAAAGTTTATCACCGTTTTACGATGGTATTTCCTGCTCCGTAAGCTGGCGATATCTGCGTCTTCGGACATCTTTTTTATTACCTCGGGTAGATTAAGGTCCCCCTGGTATTATGACTTAATGCTCCTAAATATGGGGTCAAGTATCCGTTCTTTACTAGTTCTAGCTGATCAATTTATAGATTTTCTAGTTAATTTAAATAGTTTAAAAGTGAAACATAAAATTAAAATAAAATTGAAATTACGTGTGTTCATGTGAATGCTTAAATTGACCGTATCGAGCACATTTTGTTTTATGAATAGTTTAAATTGAAATTTCGTTTGGAATTGAACATGAATTTTATCGCATTGAATGTACAGTTACAAAAAAAATTTAGCTCAACATTTTTAATCTTTTATAATTGACACAAAAAATCTAATCCACAAATAGATTTCCTCGTTTCAACAACACTAATAGATTTGCTCTGGACTTTCTAGGCATCAAGTCTAAATTAAGAAAGGTATTCAGGACGTCTTCCGGACCAGGCCAGAATGACCACGTTTCCAGCGCCAGATTGGTTACGCAATTGACCAGCGCCGCTCTTTGTGCTAGCACGCCCGTCTTACCAAGCGCACCAACAGTACCTCCCGTGGTAAAATCTCTTATCAGACCATTAACAGTTCCGCGTCTTCAAATAACCCTCGTCAATAACAACAACGAGATCATCAACTCCAATCTAACTAATGGACTTTCAAAGTCGCAAACAAACGTAACCGATGATTCTATCATCAAACCAGCACGTACCAAGAAAAAGAAGTAGCAGAGAAGGTTGTCCATGTAATTACTTTTTACATGGAAATTAAAAGGTAGTTTTTAAAAGAGACTGTTTCATTTTTTTATGTTTTTCTTGATTTTTGTAAATGTACTTATTTTTACAATCTCAAAATGAAATTATTATTACTCTTTAAATAATAATAATAATATTAACATGTCTATAAACTCACGTGTGTACAAGATTTCTCCGTCTAGTTATAAGCGATTAAAGTTTTTGCTGTATTAAAAAAAAATAAGAAGGGAAATAAATCGTCTTCCAAAATAAATTTCAAGCGACGAAGAAGACGTAAAAATACATCAACCAAAAATTTATCAAAGTACTTAAAACAGCTACTGAGTGGCGATGTTTTCTGTTTCGGGTCCAAGTTGCATCGCTCAAAAAACCGCTATTGGTAATTTTTAAAGCGGGGACCATAAAATTAAAAGAAACAAGTTGGGTATAAAAAAGATCTGATTATATTTATATGTGTAGAATCCGAAAATTGGTGCTATTTGATGCAAAATTAAAAAAAAAAAGTTGGGTCAGTTTTGTAAGAATAAAGAAGAGTTGAATATAAAATAAATAACGTTGTAGAATATATAAAAATGTGTATATGAATATATTATTATTACCCAGTAATACTGTTTGTGATATTATATAGATCTGTGTATTTAAAAAAAAATAAAGTGGTTACCTTTTTTTGTACCTCTAACTTTATTTTTGTTGGAGTAAATTGTAACTTTAGGGACAATTTGTGTATTTAGAATAAAATTTTAGAGTGTAAGTTTTAAAAGCGTTTATAAAATGGAAACAACCATTTAAAATAAAAACATAAACCTAAACAAAACTGTGTAACATGTTGAAACAATTTTTTTTTATTATGAATAACATCCATTATAAGACATCCGATTTAAAACGATTTAAAAATATACAAAATGACAAACTATAAATATTTATCTTTGTTGTGTTTTGTATCAAAATAAAGTCATCAATAAATGATGGGTTGTGTTTTTTTTTGTTGAATCATTAATAATCCCATAAAGTGGGACACAAATATGTTTGCTATTTTTATAAATGATTGATCGAAAAACTAGGTAGTTAAATTTAACGAATCCACATCATAAAAAATTACTATAACAGAAATATATCATTTTGTTAAAGCAAATTATACTTTAAAAAGAATTAAATGGAGTAGAAAAAATGAATTCACAAATTTATTGGTAGAAAATTGTATTAAAAAAAATTAACAAATTGTAAGAAACAAGTGCACGATTATAGAGTGCATTGGGAAAGCCTTCAAGTCAAGCACTAAATTAAAATGTCCAAAATCATTTTTTTCAAAAAATGCCGATTACAAACTATGGCTATGCAATAGCAGGTTCTCCAAGTTACCGAAATTGTTTATTAGGTATTTATTAATGTTATAGAAACTTTTAAATCCAAGGTAGAGCCACAGGTGAAGCCATATTTTAGATTCGGGCAGCACATTTAACAGCTTGGCGGCGTAATAGTTCACGACATCTCGAGCTCNTTTTTAAATAACGTGTTGTTTGCAGAAAAACGGGCAATAATATTTCTTTATATATTCCTTTTCTTTTAAAGGAAGTTTTTATTTTATATAATTTTTCTTCTTCTGATTGTTAGTAACGCATTTCAAACTCCTTGTGATTTTTTTTCTTTGTATTTATTTAAATTTTTTAAATTTAGTACGACGTTTCGAGCGTAATATTCGCCCATCTTGAGGTACTTAACACTACAAAACATCAAATTACTATAACCTATATCGTTATCTAAAATTAAACTAAAATTTAAAATCCAAACAACATACAACACAAAAATTCTTTAAGACAAACAACATCAAAATCTAAGTATAAAAATATAACATTTTACGTCAATTGAGTATTTATTGTATTTTATTTTAATTTTAATTCATTTATTACATGTGGAAACTTCTTCGTATGTTGGAGTTGTGTTTCATATTGAATTTAACCATGCGGTTTGGTTTTCATGTAGAAGTCGTCGAAAATGTCGAAGAAAACCTGTTTTTGATTGTATTATACCTCTACTCCTCCGCATGTTTCTAATTTTTATAATTTTTGATTTCTCATGTTAAATAGGTACCATTTTGGAAATTTTAACTAAACAGGCCATCTTTTAAAATTATTTGCCAAAGGTGCTGTACTACTCCTTTTTTTTAGAAATCGTGTGTCAAACTTAATAGACATAAATTTTTTCAATCTTAACTTAATCAAGCTAATATTTTTTTCGCAATAATAACAACCTTTGTGGTTAATAAGAATTACATTATTAAGAAAATCACTATTAAATTGCAAAAATTTCTGACTAATATCTAAAGATATGATCTACGGGAACGATTTTTAACATTTTCAAAAATATGTCTACCACTTAACTAAGAGACATGGAATTTTTTTCTTATTTTTACNTTTTTAAATAACGTGTTGTTTGCAGAAAAACGGGCAATAATATTTCTTTATATATTCCTTTTCTTTTAAAGGAAGTTTTTATTTTATATAATTTTTCTTCTTCTGATTGTTAGTAACGCATTTCAAACTCCTTGTGATTTTTTTTCTTTGTATTTAAATTAATACATGTCTATAAATTTAGTACGACGTTTCGAGCGTAATATTCGCCCATCCTGAGATACTTAACACTACAAAACATCAAATTACTATAACCTATATCGTTATCTCAACTAAAATTTAAAATCCAAACAACATACAACACAAAAATTTTTTAAGACAAACAACATCAAAATCTAAGTATAAAAATATAACATTTTACGTCAATTGAGTATTTATTGTTTTTTATTTTAATTTTAATTCATTTATTACATGTGGAAACTTCTTCTTATGTTGGAGTTATGTTTCATATTGAATTTAACCATGCGGTTTGGTTTTCATGTAAAAGTCGTCGAAGATGTCGAAGAAAACCTGTTTTTGATTGTATTATACCTCTACTCCTCCACATGTTTCTAATTTTTATAATTTTTGATTTCTCATGTTAAATAGGTACTATTTTGGAAATTTTGACTAAACAGGCCATCTTTTAAAATTATTTGCCAAAGGTGCTGTACTACTCCTTTTTTTAGAAATCGTGTGTCAAACTTAATAGACATAAATTTTTTCAATCTTAACTCAATCAAACTAATATCTTTTTCGCAATAATAACAACCTTTGTGGTTAATAAGAATTACATTATTAAAAAAATCACTATTAAATTGCAAACATTTCTGACTGTAATATCTAAAGATATGATCTACGGGAACGATTTTTAACATTTTCAAAAATATGTCTACCACTTAACTAAGAGACATGGAATTTTTTTCTTATTTTTTGACGTTGAGTTTCGGGACACCTGTATATGAAGTATAATGTGCGACCCAAAACGTTGCTCTGAGCGACTCCAGCACGTATGGTCAGAAGATTGGCTTGACCTTCCTGTCGGACAAAGAAGAACCTCTGCTCCAAATATGATCACAGTAGAGAATGGTATTGTTGAGGTAGCTGACTCTATCGATAGCCTGCGAGATATCCAAGAGTGCCGTCGTACAGTAGTTTTTTTCTTCGAATGTCTGTCTCAATGTTTGGTGTTTATTTACCTTACAGTGACCTGTAACAAGTCCCGTAATTACGCGTAAGGCGTTCTTACCCTCCCTCACAAATTCCTGTGCTGCGTCAGCTGAGAGCTAAAATAATAGTAATATATGTAACTATTAGCTAACGGGCACCTTTAAATCTATTCCACCAGTCAAAAAACGTTATGTGGGTTAGGTTTTTAATTAACTCAATATGACATACCTTAGATGGGACAATTGTTGGCAAAGGGAAGCAGGGCATTTTCCCAGCCTATCGGCGTGCTTATTTCCCGAGTGAGTCGAATGTCCCTTAATCCACCGCAGTGTGACACTGTTTAGTGTTGCCGCCTCCTCAAGCGCGAAGTGACAATCCATAATCAGCGCAATTGTCTACTGCCGGTAAAGATTGCAAAGGTCTTACCACTGAAATTGAATCTAACAATATAGTCAGCAGCCAGTTTTATAGTGACCAATTCCTCTTGCTTAACGGTGATGCCTTCTCCAAGTGACATGAGCAGACGGAGCCGTAAATCATTACAAAAGACTCCCGCTCCTGCCCCAGTCCGCCGCCTACAAGAACCATCAGTGAAGAACATTATGAAGAACATTTTGATGATGACAAGATGATGTGCAAGGCCGTGCTAAGGATTGACAAGATATGTGCAATAGTTTTAGCCTATGAAAAATGATGTTGTGAGTTATGTTAAGATTACAAAATCTAATAAAGTAAACCAAAAATCTAGGTAACAATTATTTAGGTACGTAACAAGCCATGAAAGTGTTTGTTTACGGATGCAATAGGCGTTTCTCTTTTTTTTCTAGATGTTTCTTGGCGTCACGGCGGCGGCGCCCCAAATCACTTGGTGTATACGTGGATGGCGCGGCCCTGATGATGTGAGGAATAACATGTTTGTCACACTTAATATAAAATATGGGGGATCGATACTATTTAAACGAAAATTATTGGTAAAGGTCACACACGCAGTATTGCATGGAAACGAAGCCTGATCTGGGGCAATTAAATTCGACCCACGGACGCGTTGCGAGTGTTCTCCAAACGGTTTCCGGTTTGCTAGCGTTCGTGTCGTCCCTATTGACTTAATGGCGCTATAGCGAACCCGAAATGGAAAGCCACAACCAGTACAAAAAGAAAAGGCAGAATAGAGGGAATATAGATGAAACTTGACAGAAGCTTAACTAGAAGCAACGAATTGAACGATCGATATTGCCACAATTCCTCACTGGCCGCATAGTATTTATTAAAATAATACATACTTTAAAAACATGGGCAAAGTCCATTATGATACATACCCTCTTCCACTATCAGAGGTAGAAGGAAATAAAAGGATGATTGGTAAAATATGTTGAACATGAAATTAACATTATCTAAAACTTATCAAATTAGATAGGTTTGTTAATTACGTAGTTAAAAAGTAAAATAGATGTTAGGCGAAAGCTTGATTTTACTATAATAGATAACGTGTCTTGTATCGTTAGAGGGCATTAGCACCCCAACATTAATAATTTTCAGACCAGTAAGTTGTAAGAAGCCTTTATGTTGATGTGTGAAAGTGCAATTGCATATTCAACAAATAGAAATTAAATTTGACAAAAGAGAAAGAAAAATAAAAATTAATTAGTTATTAATGATTAATTTAATTGTCCATAATAGCACAAAATACGAACAAGACAAACCAAACAAATAGAACATAAGCTATTAGTATAAGTGTTACTTAAAATTACTTACAAAGGATTTCAAATCTTATTTTTTGCTACGGGTATCTCTTGGGAGTAATTTCTCTTGACTGAAAATCTCACTTCTCAACTCTACTCTTCTTTTTCTTCTCTGGGTTTTGACTCTTGTTGTTTGCATCTACTCTGTGGACTCCCTTCTTGACTGGACTGGACTAGATTACGAACTGCTGTTAACACTGCCGAACTGCACTGCTTTTGTTTTTTTGGGACTCTTAGGAACTACTACGAACTGATTGCTAGGAAACTGCTCTTTTTCTAAACCAATGGAAAATTTTCTCCGCCGAACTACCTGGTCTTTTCTTCCGTCTGAGATTTTAAACCTTTTGCTTCGAATGCTCTTAACCTAAACAATTGTTTCCAAGGTCGAAACGGACTCGAATTACTAGAACCGTTGCGTACTAAACTAGAATAAAGAGATATCATACAGAGAACCCTTCTCCAAATGATGGAAAAGCAAAGGCAAAATAATCAATCAATAATATTAATCGAACTCGCGGTTTGATACAACGTCCAGATCACAAACTACTCAAATCTAGAGAATAATTAATATACTGATTAATAAACGTAGAGATGAAAGAGACGAATATTCTCGTAAGAATA